ACCTGACTGGGTAGCTCTGGGCTTCCCCTGCCAGGGCTGCATGGTGCCCAATTCTAGGGAGTTGATTGGTTCTCCTTGTGCATGGTCCAAGCTGCCTCTTCCAACCCAGCCTTGCCGTTTGGGGTACTCCCCAGAGCTGCAGCAGAAGGCAGAGGGGACCTCCCAAGTGGAAGGGCAGCATGGGCTTTCATGGGATTGTTCTTCACCCATGACAGGGTAACTTGGAGCACCCGTGACTGGGTGGGCTTGGCAGACCTCACTCAGTGGCTGAGTTGGGACCCTGAGCCTGAGGTTTTAGCCTACGTGAGGCTCTACAGTGTGGTGCAGGGGCATGCCAGAAGCCCACACTGCAGAGGCCCCACTGCATGTGTGACTTTGGGCAAGTGTCTTGCCTCTTAGTGACCCAGTTTCCTTATCTGTAAAGAGAGATGATGAGAGGGCAATAGGATTGTGCCAAGGTTGGACTTCTGGTCCTTGCAAGGCTTTAACTGAGTCTTCCTTTGCTTATCATTCTTGAAGCATATTTGCGCTGGATACAGAATTCTGGTTCATAGATTTTTAATAGCACTTTGAATGACTTTTGGACTCCAGTATCTTTTTTTAAAATATTTGTTTATTTATTTTAGAAAGGAGAGAGCGTGAGCAGGGGGAGGAACAGAGAGAGAGGGAGAGAGAGAATCTCAAGCAGACTTTCCACTCAGCATGAAGCCCAACACGAGGCTGGTCCCAGGACCCCAAGATCATGACCTGAGCCGAAATCAAGAGCCAGCCTCCCAACCGACTGAACCACCCAGGCACTCCTGGACTCCAGTATTTCTGATGAGAATTAGCAGTCATTTGAGTCCTGGTGCCTCTGAATGCAACATGGTTTTATTCTAGCTGCTTATAAAATGTTATCATTATTTTGGTCCTCAGCAGTTTAATGGTTAGGTGTGGTTTTCTTGGCATTTATCCTCTTCGGAGTTAACTGAGCTTCCCAACTGTCTGCGTTGATGTCTTTTCCCATATTGGGGATTTTTTTCAGTCATTATCCCTTGAAGTCTTTCTCCTACCCTATTATCTCTCACCCCTCCTTCTGGAACTCCAATTACATGTATGTTAGATGTTTGATAGTGACCTAGAGATCCTGGAAGATCTGTTCTTTCTTCTTTAAATTTATTTTCTCTCTCTTTTTCACATCAGGCAATTTGTATTGATGTATCTTCAAGTGTACTGTCTTTCTTCTATCATCTCAAAGTTTCTGTTAAGCAATTTAGTGGTCTTCTGTTTCAGATACTGTATTTTTTAGTTATAGGATGTCCATTTGGTTATTTTTTCAATAGCTTTTCTTTCTCTGTTGAAATGTCCTTTCTTTTCATTCAGTGGGAGCAAATTTCCCTTTACATCCTTGAACATAGTTATAATACCTACTTTAAATTTTTTCATTTGCTAATTCCAACATCCAGGGCATTCCATGGCTAGTGTCCATCAATTATCCTTACATTAAGTATGGGTGATGTGTTATTTCTTTGTGTGTCTTCATATAATTTTGGATTATATCCTGGGCATTGTGAATGATAACATTGTAGAGACTCTGGATGTTTCGTATGTCCCTCCAAAGAGCATTTTTGTTTTATTTTGTGTTTGTGAGCAGTTAACTTGGTTGAACTCAACTGCAAACCCCATCTCTGGGGTGATGGGCACAAACCCCAGCTCACTTCTTTTAGTCTCAGCTGGGCTGCTCGGAGTCTGTCATGTGCGTGCATGTTTTGTGGCCAAAGATTTGGGCAGAGTTTATGTGCTGTATTTGGGGGCCCCCCTCAGGCATCCCCCTTTCTGGAATTTACTCCCTCACTTTCCAGCTATTACTAGGGCTTCCCCAGCCTCTGTCACCTGGTTTATGAGACCTAAGAGTAGGACTTTCTACCTGTTTCAGCAGCTGTAGGACACAGGCTAGGGCCTGTCCTCAGACTAAAAGCCATGAAAATGGCTCACTGGGTGAGTGATTGCTAATTTTCCTGCATGTTCCACCTGCATTTGGTCCCCTCCAGTGCCTTCCGGTAGTTGTGTTTTGTTATTTTTCTGTTGAGGCTTTATAGTTGTGATTGGTGAGAGAGTTGATCCAATAGGAGCCACAAGGCTAGAAGCAAAAACTCCTATGGAGAGATTTAGAACAGTGCCTGGCAAATGAGCACTTAAGACACGTGAGTTGATGTCATTGACCCTTCTGTGGTCAAGATGAGAGGCAACATGGACATAAGACACTCCCATGTAGGAAGGGGTCCACATTCAATGAGGGGGCACACAGTGGGCATGAGACTGTAGTTGTAGGAGAGACCACTGAACTGGGGGGCAGCGGTGCTCTCTGGGAGGCTTCCTGGGGGAGGTGGTCTTGGGACGGGACATGTGTCAGGTATTCCAAGATGGGAGAATGGATTTTCTGATTTCAGGGTTTTATTGATAAGGATTTCTAGCTTTCAGGGGAGTTAACCTTTCCTAAGGTAAGCCCTAGAAGATACTTCCTGTAGCAGTGAATCAGTGGTGAAACATCTACCAGCCCAAAAGCGTGAGGAAGCAATGCCATGGCCTGCTTATTCCATAGATGTTTCCAGGATGGGACTAGCACAGGACTGGAGGTCAGGACCCCCAAACCTGCATAGTAGGGTTGAGCCACTACTCATCTCGCACACTTCTGAGCTGGCCACTGCGAAGTCTGTAGAGGCCAGAAGCAAGGATGAGAGGGGGCTTTAGTTTTCTGTCCAGTTAATTTTGGTAACTCCTTGTTCCTTAGACTCATGATCCTTCCTTCTAGACCTCCACACTCCATAGTCCCACTGGGGCTTCTGACCCCGGGCACACCCTATTATAGTCATGCCACAAAACTGAGGCTCAGAGAAGTGGTGTGACCAACCCAGGCCACACAGCCAAGGCGCCGGAGCCAAGACTCCAACCCAGGACTTCCCACTGGCCCGCGAGCAGCTCGGGAGGTTGCCCCGTGCAGGGTCCTCTATCTCTCTAGCTGCCAATGGAAATAATAGCGGTATCCCCCTCAGGGGCTGGCATGAGTTTCAAAGGCGGCAGCGGATGTGAAACTGACACATAAATTGTAAATTGCCTGCAGATGTTAGTGTCTGTTACCGTGGTAACGGCCCAGCATTTATGGACTGCATTGGCTCTGGGTACCAGTGGTCACACTGGCGTTTTAATTTAATAGCATTGTTATTCTTCCATCATAAAAATAATATAAATTATGCATATGTTCAAACTCATCAAACAGTATATATTAAATATGTGCATTTGTATATCTTATATCCCAATAAAGCTATTAAAAATTACCATCATTACAGAAAATCGAGAAAATGTAGGAAAGTGGGACAAGAAACGAAAATATTTTATTGCAGCCATCCCAAAGCACCCTCTGCTAATGTGGTGGTGGGGGGGCGTTTCGGGTTTTCTTCCCTCTTCCCAGTGTGCTTGCCATTTAACACGGCTGTGATCACTGGTGTATATAATAAAAACATTTTATACACAATTTTATATCCTGCTCTTTGCCCCTTAGGGGGTGCTAGTAGGAAGAGCAAGGACTGGTGCCACGCCGTCCGGGACCCCGGAACTGCTGGGCTCTGACGCCGGGTCCAGGGTGCTTGGGCTCCCGGGTCAGGCCAGGCGGCCCCGTGGGGGGCCCGACCCGTTCCCGGCTCCATGTTCAGCGGGCATGTACACGTTCCCATCCCGCTGCTCTCCTCGTCTTGTCTTGTTTTCATAAGTTCAGTGAAATGTGTTTTTATCGTGATCGATGAAAATGTCCGGCCCATCATCCCGCTTCTAAACCACCTTCTCTCTCTCCCTCTTTTCTTTTGCTGTCAAAGCTGGCGTTTACTTACGGCTCAGAAAGCCATTGCGGGCCAGAAGCTGCCTCTAACAGGCACTGATTGGAAAAGCAAAAGGTGTTTATTGAATAGGAAAGTGAAAAATCACTTGAGGTCTTGAGATAAGAGGTAGCCGGTACTCTTGAGAAGCAGCAAGGGGCCCAGTGCCACGTTCTGTGCAGGTGCAGGAGCAGGGTAAAGGTTTGGGCTTCCGATGCGGTCTGCCTCGGGGGCCTGCAGACCACTCAGGCTGTAGACCACTCTGAGACCTTTGCTCTACTCTGAGGTCAAATGGGGATTTGGTCTAGAGGGTTTTGGGCGGGCTCCCTCATGCTCTGCTAGGTTAGCTTAAGCAGGGGCAGGGAGGAAGCAAAGGGATCCTTTAGGAGGCTGTCGGAATCTTCCAGGTGAGAGGCGGGGAGATGTGGGAGGAATCTGGATACATTGTGAAGGCCTGGCCAGTAAGACTGGACACGGCGCCTGGAGATGGAGACAGAGAAAGGGGTCAGAGAGACCCCAAGGCTTGGGCCTGAGCCAGGGGAGGATGCAGCTGCCACCACCTGACAGGGGAGGCTGCCCACGATGGCTTTGGGAGGGAACAGCATCTGGTTTTGGGGACCAGTGGAGGGTTTCGGGCCGAGACATGCTGGGACTCAGGTTGCGGTAGGAGAATGAAGTGGGGGCAGTGATCAGGGCTGAGGCTCTGTGCTAAAGCTGGATCAGAGATTCTGGGGCCTACAGAGTCCAAGGCCAGGAATGTGTGAAGGTTATGGGGGTCCCCCCGATGGGGAACCCATGATGGGCAGGGGTGACCACAGTCGGTCCCAGGGGCCCCCAGAGTACGGCTAGTGTCAGATTGTGGCCCAGTCACCTGGGCAGCACATGAAACCCCCAAACTGCTTCTGGAAGGAAGGAGAAGGAGGAAGGAAGCAAGTAGGAAGGAGACAGAGGGAAACAAGCCTGGGAACAGGTCTCTGTCCCGCGGCCAGCCGGGAGGGGACAGGGGGACCATCGGCCCCTCGTTAGTGCCCCTGCTTCTGGATGGTGGCCCAGCCCAAGGGTGCAGGCTCTGGGGGGTGGGGGACCTGTTCAGTTGAGCTCTGCAGTACTGGGGTCCTAATGAGCCACACCTTCCTGTCTCTCCCCCTGCAGCCGATATCATCTCCACTGTTGAGTTCAACCACACCGGAGAGCTGCTGGCCACAGGCGACAAGGGTGGCCGGGTTGTCATTTTCCAGCGGGAACCAGAGGTGCGGCGGGACCTGGTGGCTGCGGGAGGGGGGCCACGCCCCACGCAGGCCTTTGCTGGCTCTGTCCTGGGCCCTGGGGATGCATTCAGGACAGGCAGGGCCAGCAGTGGCCCTGGGTTAAGCCTCCGATTTCTGCCCTCCGCCTGGGTGAGCCGGCGCTGTCCCGGCCAGAGGTGGGGGAGACTAGAGGACTGGGTTTTCTGCGGCCGTGGGGCTGCCCGCAGGCTGGGGTTGGCGACTTGGCTCAGCCCCGGGCCTCGCCCTTGCGAGGTTTTGTTGTCCATCAGAATGTCAGGTAAGACAGGAGCAGCCCGGAACAACCCACCCAGGGGTGCTGTTTCTGAACCACTGTAAGAACCTCATGATTAAAAAAAACCCCATTTGTTGAGCACCTACTATGTGTGGTCACCTTGCTACGTTCTCTACACACTTTGCTCGTTTACTCTCTGCTGCCAACCTCAGAGGGTGGGGACCGACACCCATTTTACAGATGAGGACACTTGGAGAGGTCGCCCAGCTAGTGAGTAAAGACCAGGGACTGAAACCCAGGCCATGTGTCGTCGCGTACACGCCACCCTGCCTCAGAGAGGGGGCCACCCACACGCCGAACAGGTGCAGGGATTAGATGCTGAAGACGGCATGGCAAACCCCAAGGAGGTGGAGGGCGGGGAAGGGAGAGGGGAGGGGGAGAGGGAAGGGGTGAGGACGAGACGAGGAGGAGGGGGCATTGAGAAGGAGAGGGGGGGGGAGGGGAATGAGGGGGGCAGGGGAGATGTTGCAGATGCATCCCTGCCCCGCTCCGTTCCGGAGCGCGTGTTCCTCGAGGTCTGACTACTCTGTGTTCCCTCCCTCCCCCTGTAACCTCCCTCACGACAACCCCAGCGAGGCCATTAGGTGTTATTAGCATCCTCATGTCACAGATGGGGAGCCCGGAGCTCAGAGGGCGTCACCTGGCTTAGCAAGGACGCCTAGCGGAAAGCGGACAGCTGAAATTTACCCGAGCGCAGCCCTGTGGCCAGAGCGTGCCGATTTCACGAGAAGGACCTGGGTAGCCCACCAGGGGTTGCGAAGCCGAGCCTCCTTTCTAGAGAAAGAAATTAAATGGGTAGATGCGCATTTCCTGACTTTGGAATTTTTCTCCTTTTTTTCCTCTATTCCAGTCCCAGTGACCTTAGTCATAGACAGTGCTCATGGCAGCTGAAGGGACATGGAGGCAAACATACAGAAGAACTTGAAAGCTTGCCAGAAGCAGGACAGGTGTAGAAATATAGCAATAGATGCTTCCGGAACAAATGAATAGGAAACTTGAAATTGTGCTTGGTTGACTGTCTCCATTTGCTCCCAGGCGGGTTATACGTCTGGTTGAAGCTTCGTATTACCACATACACTGAACTTGTCCGCTGAGAAACCCACGATGGACTCAGCACCTCACCATTTTGAGGGCTCTGTCACGAGGGTCCTTGTTATTAGGAGCTCTGCTGCTTTAACCAGGATGCGCCCACGGGGGAAAGTCAGGAGGATGATGGCCCGGCCCCAATCTGACATTCCAGAAGATTCTGCCTCCGTGTAAAATCTGCTGCAAGATGGGTACATTCCATGAGTCAGGACCAAGTTGGACACTCAGACTGGAAGAGCAGGCCAGAGCCTTGGCCTTGGTGTCAGACGGACCTCAGAGGGGCGAGTGACAGCACTTAGTGGACACATGGCCTTTGGGGGGAGTGGTCAGTTCACCTCCGAGTCTCCACTTTCTCATCTGTAAAATGGGGAGAATCGTGGTGGTGCCCAGTACAGAGGGGCCGTGCAGATAGAACAGGACGGGGAGTGAGAAGCACTTAGCTCAGCACCCGTACACATAGTAGGTGCTCAGGTAATGTGAGCCAGCCTGATTGCTGCACTGAGGAGGAGATGGGGCTTGGCCACAGCCACACGCCAAGTCATCGGCCATTTAAAATACAGAGCTTCCTTTGGCCCTGGCGCCAGATCCCCCAGCCCTGCTGGACACGGGCTGGCCGGCTGCGTCGGGCTCTCGGAGGGTTTGGTCGGCACAGCCCTCACCCCGGCCCCCGCCGTGCTAGAGCTCAGGCCCCCTTGTCTGGGTTTTCCTGCAGAGTAAAAATGCAGCTCACAGCCAGGGCGAGTATGACGTCTACAGCACCTTCCAGAGCCACGAGCCGGAGTTCGACTACCTCAAGAGTCTGGAGATAGAGGAGAAGATCAACAAGATCAAGTGGCTCCCACAGCAGAATGCAGCCCACTCCCTGCTCTCCACCAACGGTGAGGGGCCCACGTGTGCTGGCATTGCCGGCCGCCGCATGCTCTTTCCCAGCTCGCTTACACTGAGCGTTTTCCTGGGTCCCCAGAACTCGACCACAGCATTTTGAGGAGTGGGCACATTCCATCCAGTGACCGTCCCACAGCTTGCTCAGCCTCGGCCAGTGGTGGGACGCGGGGCTTGTTTGCATTATGACGGATGGCTGGGTCAGGGACATCTCTGTCATTACTGTCCCTGGGGGGGGGGGTGTGTGTGTGGAGGGAGCTTGGTATTCCCCATGAAGGAGGCAAAACTAACTCTTCTGGAACCCCGGAGCACCCCTGGGTGGGGTTGTCACTCTAGAGCGTGAGGCGGGCAGCAGGAGGAGCGTAGGTTTAGGAGCCTGGCTGGCCACTTGACCATTCTGCCCCAGGGAGGATGTGTGCGCCCCCAGGCCTCAGGGGGGCTCCTGGCCAGGCTCCTGCTTCGCTGTGCCCCACTCAGGGCCTGGCTCCCGGGGCCGGAGGCTCGGCTTCCCCTTGCTCGCCCTCCTGCATCTCTCGCCCCTGTCATCAGTGGTGTCTGAGGGGTAGGAGGACAGGCCTGGACTCCACTCAGCCCTGTGACCTCGGGGCGGTGGCCTTGCTTCCCTGAGCCTTGGTTCTGTCACCTGTGTAGCGGGGTGGATGCAGCATCCCTGGGTTGTGTAAGGGTGACATGGATGACACCCAGCCAGCACCCTGAGACCAGCCAGCCCTGCTGCGGCACGTGTGAGCCCCACACGGTGACGCCACCTGCCTTCCCCGACAAAGCCCAGACTCAGTGCGGCTGCTAAGGCATCCTCAAAACTGCTCGGACTCAGTCCCACCAACCCTTGTTCCGGAAGGCCACCCAATCTGCCCCTCACCTGGCCAACAGCTTCCCCATCCCTTAGACCCCACTCAGGGTCGCCTCACACTTAGCCTTTGCGGACTTCTCCGCTGAGCCTGCCGTCCCTCCTGCCGTCAGTCCTGACCCCCCGCCTGCCCCCGCCGACCCCTCCTGACCCCAGGCCTGCCCTCCAGGCCTCCTGCTGTTCTCATCCTTCACTGTGCCAGGTGCAGGATCCGAGCCCGCTAAGGGTGCCTGACCCAGGCCATGCTCAGCCAGTGGGGAGTGGAGGCAGTGAGGGCCTCCCTGAGGACCGGAGCCCCTCCCCTGGTGCACATCCCGGCCTGCCACCTCCGCATCTGAGTTGCTATGCTTGTGCCTGCCTCATGGGGGCGCTGGGGGACGAAATGACGTAAGGCCGTAGCGGGTTAGAAGAGGGCTGGTGCCTAAGGGGCAGCACACACATGTTGCTTTTCCTTGAACCATGTGAGTGGGACGTGTCATTCTCTTCCTGCCCCTCTGGAGGGAAGGTCAGCTTCAGGGGCTCTCTACACCCCCACCCTCAAAGCTTCTTGACCCTGGGTTTAGATTCCAGCTGCACCCTTTCCGAATGGCATGTCCTTGGGTACCCGTCAAGGGTTTAATGATCCCGGTTGTCTCCCGCTTCCTTCTCCTGAGCAGGGCTGTTTGTTTTGGCTACAGTAGCAGTCAGGGTTCTCCGGGGAAGCAGGACCCGTACGATGACCGTGTGTGTGTGTGTGTGTGTGTGTGTGTGTGTGTGTGTGTGTGTGTGTAGGTAGGGATGCACATGTAGATGCAGCAGATATATGGAAAGAGACTTATTTTAAATTGTCTCACGTGATTGTGGGGACTGGAAAATCCAAAATTTGCAGGGCGACCTGGAAGCTAGTGTTTCAGCTTGAGTCTGAAGGCCACCTGCTGGCAGAATTCTCTCTTCCTCTGGGGGAGGTCAGTCCTTTTAAGGCCTTCAACTGATTAGATGAGGCCCACCCACGGTATGGAGAGCAGTCTGCTTCACTATGGATTTTCTTTTTCTTTTGGTGGTTTAACAACAGTTTATTTCTCATTCCCATAAAGCGCATCACAGGGCTGTGGGACTTTTCAGAACAGCTGCTCTCCATGTGGGGGGCTCAGCTTTCCAAACTACTCTGAGTTTCTGGCTCCTGTGTCTGTTTGGGCTTCCGCGACTGAGGCAGCAAGAGCATTAGAGTTTTGCAACAACAAATAGAGCCTCAGCCCAGCACTCTGTGGATGTAAGTGTTAATGCCATTAAAAAAAAAAAAATACCATCACAGCAACATGCACCTATGTTTGGCCAAATATCTGGGTGGCTTGGCTTTGCCACACTGACATAGAAGATGAACCATCACGCCGTGAGGTTCCTCTTCTGATGTTCGGGGCAGGAGGCCAGAGAAGTGCGGCCACTGGGAAGCTGCCCCCCGGATAGGCCCGAAGCTGCTCAGAAAGAGCGAGCAGTTTACCCTCTTTTTGTCTACCCCTGCAGGGCTTCAAAAGTAGAACGCTACATCTGTACACTCTTTCTGCGAGTGGGTTCAGAGAGTTCGCTAGCTGCCCTTGCAGGTGCCTTCCCTTTTGACCCAGCAGTTGTGAGGAGCCAGCGGATGAGGGCAGGTACCCCGCAGGCATGGCGTGGGTGCATAGAAGGAGCAGGAACCCGCGTGTACAAGAGCAGGCTGCCGTCAAGGAATTCCCAGCATGGTACACCCCTGTCTCGTGGACTGTGCTCTGTGCTGGTGTTAATCATGCCTCTCGTTTGTTTGCTCTGTTTTGAAAGATAAAACTATCAAATTATGGAAGATTACTGAACGAGATAAAAGGCCTGAGGGATATAACCTAAAGGATGAAGAAGGAAAGCTTAAGGACCTGTCCACGGTGACGTCGCTGCAGGTAAGGTGGAACGTGGAAGGTTCTGGCAAGCGGGAAGCCATGTAGACTTCTTTTGTGAAACGGTGAGCCTTTATTTAGGACTTGAAGGGCCTTTGAGATTTGAGCCAGAGCCGGGTTCGGGTCCTGGCTGGGCTGCTTCCTTGTGGGGTGGCCGTGAGCTTTTCCCTGCCTCCAGCCTTGGGCTCCTTGTGAGCAAAGCAGAGGCGGTCCTCTTTCTCCCAGAAGTGATGTGGGGGTGAGGCAGGGTGATGCATGTCCGGGAGAGCTGGTGGGCCGAACTTTGTGGATTCCAAACCCTTTGCCGAGGGTCCGAGAGAGGCCTGGAACGGGTGATTCTCGCTGCCTGGACAGAGGCTCAGCCGGAAAAGAGGCCGGGAAGGTGAAGCTGCAGGGTCTTGCCGAAGCACACTCTCCTCCCCACATGGTGAAAAGGCAAAAGAACTCTTTCAGGGAGAGGCTGTGAGACATGGCAGAGAGAGTTCTGGAGTCCAAGGATCTAGGTTCCAGTCCTGCCTCAGGCACAGGGACGAGGCTCTCAGCCTCCACGAGCCTCCACCAACTCCTGATCTGGAATGAGCATAAGCACTTCCCGTGGCCAGCATGTGTCTTCCAAGCACTCTGCCTATAGTACCTCAGTCCTCACCGAAGTCCTGTAAAGGGGGCACATGATTATCAACCCCATTTTATAGCTGAAATGAGAGCCGGGATCCAAACCCAAGGAAATCTGGCTCCAGAGTCAGCATCCCAGTCTCCTCCATGAAGTGGGAATGAGGTCCCAGCCGCCCAGGAGAGCTGTGGGGATGGTCACTGGTGTCCTGCTGGAAGACTCCATGAACGTCTGTCCCTACCCTTCTCCAACAGGGCAGGGAGCATAACAAGGCCACCACGCCCGTCCCTGGCTTCCAGAACCGACCCTGGAATATAGTGGGCGCTCTGCTCGTGTCTGTTGAAGGGGATGCTGGTGCACAGCTAATTTGGATTTATTTGTTCACACTTACTGAGCACCTGCCCTGTGCCCAGCCCTGCTCTGGGCATAGGGAGACCTCGGTGAAACAGAGCCTGGGGGAGGGATTGGGTCTGAGTCTTACTGCCCCCTGCTCCTGGGCCTGGCCTGGCTCCGAGGAGGTAGCCTGAGTCCCATGAGTGAGCATCAGAGGTACTGCTCCCTTCAGCCCCAGTTTCCATATTCTAGCCAATTTGGAAAGGCTGGGTCACATCGCATGGACTGCCTGTCCTCCTGGGAGAGGGGGGCCAACTCACAACTATGTGTGTGTGTGCCACCCGGTGGTGGGGGGGCAGTGGCGAGGCCTGGTGTGGGGGTGTTGGTGCCTCCCCCGGGCTCCCCGATGGCTCCCAGATCCACTCGCCGCTTGTCAGGTGGCTGTAGGCAGGGCCCTGCCCCGTGCCTCCGTTTCCTCACCAAGAAAATGGGGGTGAGGACTCACTTGCCCTGAAATAGCTTAGCGTACGTGCTCACTACCCATCCAGCAAATCGTTGTAAATATGAAACGGTAATCAGTGTTGTTCCCGAGATGGGGAAATAAATGTTTAAGCATCTCAGCTGCTAAATGACGGGCAAATTGTGCAAATAAATTCTGAGAAAGCCAGGAGGCCAGTTAGCTTCCGCATTGAGTAATGGGAGTGATGTGGCCCCCCCATACCCCCTCCCAGCCCCCAGGAAGTTTATGAGGCTTTCATCTGGTGGGAAGGATGCAATTATCACCTCTTGATGGGGTGGCCCGTGGGAATCCGTTTATTTCCCTCCCAGCATCTGAGACTTTGCTCTGTATCTCACTCACGCCCCCAGATGGCCCTTAACCATCCGCCAAGCCCGGAGGACGAGAAAGGGAGAAAGAATGGGGGCATCTGGGTCCTTCCTCCTCTTGCCTCTTCCTTGTCTCCTCCCATGTCACCCAGGCCACCCAGCCGTGTGCAGCTCTTTACCGAATCTGAGCCGTTCCCACTGGAGGCTGGCGCTGTTATTTACCAACAAGCTGCTCTGCACTGGGCCCCATGCTAGATCCCTGGGTTTCGGAGGTGAGCAGGTCAGGCTGAGTGCCCAGCCCCCGCCCCCCCCAAGGAAACAGACAGGGAGTCACTCCATCTTGTTGATTTGGTGAACTCCTATTCATCCTTTAAAACCCTAGTAGCCTTCTCCTCTGTAAAGCCATTTCTACACAAGCCAGATAAAAACCCTCACTGCAGCCTAGCTTTGTGTATCCCATAATGTTCTGTCCTTAGTGTTTAGGTGTCTGCCTTCCTGCCTCTCACCTTGACTAGACTGTGGCTTCTAGAAGTGTTGGGGGAGGGGAAATGTTTTATTCATGAGACACCCAAACCTTCAGGGCATATTTATTTTCACCCTTCCTCTCCTTTGTTCTTTTAATAACTTCGAAATATGGTTTGGGGATGGCAGTGAGTGGCTGGAGCCCTGGCTGTAGGCCAAGGCTGCCAGGCGGGGAAGCGATGTTGCCAGAAGGAGGGGAGGCAGACTGAGATTCAAGACTTGGCTTAAGCCAGTGATGCTCTGATCTTCTCCAGGAACAGGTGTGACTTGGGAGAGTGCAGGGGACCCTGGGGCAGCTGTGCCTTGAGGAAAGAGAAGGGGAGATTAGGAGCTGACCTAGAATATCTGACACAGGGGGACATGGGCAGGGCGGAGGCCCTGGCACACCATTCGCTCTCATCTCAGGCAGAGAGTCTAGAAGCTCAGGCACAGAGCCAGCAACACAAGACTGGCCCAGAGCCAGGCAGGCATGCACACTGATGTTGCATACATGCACACTTATGCTCACACACATGCACACTCACACACACACACCCATATTCATGAGTGCACATGCACACGCACTGACACATGCTCACACTGGGTCCCCTGGTGCTGTGCATGAGAAGGAACATTTAGTGCTCACCCACCCCAGCTGCAGCACCAAAGCTATCACCTTCCATCTCAGAGGTCCCTGAGGAGCTCAAGGGACACATTCATTTATTCACTCACTCATTCCCCTGGGGACCTTTCTGTGTGGGGCCCTGAACCGAGCACCAGCCATACAGAGATGAACACGAGGAGACACAGTGTGCCCCTAACCATTCCCAGCCACTGCAGGGACAAGACAGCAGCCTCGTCATGTGGCCGGGGCTGTGACAGACTGTGGCCACTCCAGGGAGCCCCTGGCCCAGCCTAAGAATGAGGTGCAATCAGGGGAGGTCCGCTGGGAGGAGATTCTCGGGTCCCACTTCAACCCGAGTCTGATCCACACGGCCCACGTCAGCCCTGCTCCTATGTCCCCTCTTGGTTACCCTTCCTACCTGGCACCACCCCTGCAACCCTCTCGCCGAGGCCCTGTACCTTTTATTTTTCCAAATAGCACCTGTTGCTGTGTGAATCTCTCTCTCTCTCTCTCTCTCTCTCTCTCTCTCTCTCTCACACACACACACACACACACACACACACACTCACTTCTGTATCGGTTTATTGTCTTTCTCGCCCACCTGATGGCAAGCAGCCCGTCTGCCCCAGCGTGCACTGCACCCAGTTGGGCTTGGATTCCCGCGATTCTACCTGGTAACTGCCGCCCCAGGCCCAGGAGCCGTGCAGTTAGCCGACAAGTTTGCACAGCCCGACACCAGGACCCCGAGCTCTTCCTCACTCGGAGGCCGGTTGAGCTGCCTCTCCTGGACGCAGTTCCCATGGCCCCTGCGGCAGGGTCCCCTGGGCCCACGCTGAAACCCGTGTGGCTGTGTGAGGCCTGTCCCTCCTCCCATCATCTTCTAAGGAGGAAGTCGGGCGCTAGCACAGACTGAGAACTCGCCATGTGCGGGGTGCCATTCTAAGTGCACTTGACCTACATGAACTCGTGGGATCCTCACGGAAGCCCTGAGCAGGGGCCAGCATATCCCTCTTCACAGATACGGAAACCGAGGCCCAGAGAGGCGAGGTCCCCAGTGAGGGTAACCCTAGTGGTGGCAGGGCAGTAGGGTTTCAGGGGTCTGTCTTTCTACCAAGATGCCCCGACGAGGCAGTCACCCCTGGCTCTGCATTTCCTGACTCTGGGACATCGACACGTCGGGGTCATCTTGGTATCCAGTCTTCCCACCCAGGACAGGATGGCCATGCCAGTCCCCACTTCCTGAGCATCGAGTCTGGGCCAGGCCTGGGAGAGACTGCTGAAGCCTTGTCTGTCTGTCTACCCATCCCTGTAGCTTCAAAGACCTCACAGTTTCCTGGGGTGGGGCCTTGTGCCCGATACACAGCACGGCATATGCTAGGAGCCTTGATACAGATGTGTGCAGTGTGCTGGGGGTGAGCAGGCTCTGGGACCCCACTCCTGGGGCAGGCTGCGTGTCCGAGGGGCTGTTGCTTCTAGCCCTTGCAGGAAGAGTCAGTATAACTAGGAGTTCAAAGGGGGTGAACGTTCCAGGCAGAGCGTGTGGAGAGAAGCAAAGGCTCAGGACCTGATGCTGTCCCAGGGACTCCTCTCTGGTGGGAGTTTGTGTGAGTTAGGCTAACACCAGCAACTGTAACAAATAACCCCAGCATTGCAGGGCGCAACACACAGAAATGTATTCCTCACTCGTGGAAAGGCCCAGGGTTGGCGTTCCTGGTGGACACATGACTCTCCAGCGGGGACGCAGCCTCCTTCCCTCCCACAGGCCTTCAGTCCTAAAGCTTGGGTCCTCATCTTCCAGCCTGGAAGGGGAAAGTGGGTAGAGAAGGCACACCCGCCTCTCAACAGTCTTGGCTCTCAAGAGCCCGGAGTCACTGTGTTCACATCCTGTTGGTCAGAACCAGTCACATGGCCACACCCAACTGCAAGGGCAGCTGGGAAGTGTAGTTCTTGCGTGAGCAGGCACTTCCTTGTGACAAGGGAACAAAAGGTGGAGAATTGGTGGGTGCTGCCACGGTATCTTCTCATTCCATTTTAGAGGTGAGGAAATTGGGGTGCAGAGGGTTCGGCCACTTATTCAAAGTCAGACAGCAGGCTCAGAACCAATCCCAGGAGGCCAAGCTTTCCTGCAGGGCTGGCAGGTGATGGATGTTGGCCACGTGGCGCTGCTTATTTCCAACACATGCAGGATGGATGCCCACTGGCACATTCCCAGCCTCCGGTTTTGATCATGCAGCCTTGGCATGCCATTTCCTGCCTTGGGCACCTGCCCCCCTCCACTCCCCCTCCGACACCTCATCATCCTGCAGACCGCCCCCTCCTCCACAGGTGCCCGTGCTGAAGCCCATGGATCTGATGGTGGAGGTGAGCCCACGGAGGGTCTTCGCCAACGGCCACACCTACCACATCAACTCCATCTCCGTCAACAGCGACTGCGAGACGTACATGTCGGCGGACGACCTGCGCATCAACCTCTGGCACCTGGCTATCACTGATAGGAGCTTCAGTATCCTTTCCCACTGCGGGCACCTGCCACCTCCTGGGGCAGGGGGCTTCCGGGTGGGGGTGGTTGGCTTGGCTCTGCGTTTGTTCAACTTCTTCAGTGAGGGAGGCCCAGATTTGGAATCCTGATGAGCCGGTTTATGAAAACTTTACTTTTTTAAAAAAGATTTTATTTATTTATTTGACAGAGAGATAGCGAGAGAGGGAACACAAGCAGGGGGAGTGGGAGAGGGAGAAGCAGGCTTCCCGCGGAGCAGGGAGCCCGATGCGGGGCTCGATCCCAGGACCCTGGGATCATGACCCAAGCCGAAGGCAGACGCCTAACGACTGAGCCACCCAGGCGCCCCAGGTTTATGAAAACTTTAAATCCGTGGCTGCCGAGGGTTATATTCGACCCCTTGCCTTCTCCGGGTGGCTGTGCTCCCTGTCATTCGGGGACTGCAGAGGAGATGGAGTCCTGGGGTCCGCCCTCCTGGAGGAGGGATGGCTGACCCACCGGAGAGTCAGACCGAGGCTCTGGACCCTCCTCCCTGCGGCCTGAGGCAGGGGCCTCAGTGTGTGATGAACAGCCTTGGGGTGCCACCCAGGGCTTAAGGTGACAGTCGAGGTGTCAGAAGCCCAGTTGGATGGGGTCAAAGGGGGGCCCTGCCTGGCGGTCCCCTCTGTCTAGGCAAGCCAGGGGCAGTAGGACGGACTCCAGGCCCTGCTGACTGGTGAAGAAAGAACTTGGTACGCAAGCTTGGGCCTGGGAGGGGCCGCAGTGGACAAAGCAGCCAGGTTGCTCCCATGTCACTATTTGCAGGCCAATAATAATAATCCTACACAGTGTGGCTCTGCGCCTGACCTCAGCATGTGTTTGTGTTAACTCATATCACCCTCAAGACAACCCAGGAGGTAGGTGCTATCATGACCTCCTGTACAGATGAGGAAACTGAGTCACAGGGAGCCCAAGTTAATCTGCTCAAAGCTCACACCTAACAAGTGTCCGATCCAGGTCCCCCCGCAGCCCCCGACTCCCCATTTCCAACCTTTATGTGCAACTGCCCTTTGTGAAGTCTGCCTCCAAGATGTGCAATGGAACAGGGTAGGAGCCCCCCACCGCCCAGAGTGTTGTGCAAGCCGAGTGTCCCCTCTGTGTGGGGTGCTGGGCAGCTCCTGTGGCGAGAAGCTCCTAACACGGAGGGTTGGACCTGCTACTGCTGCCGCCTTACCCCTCAGGAGTGGGTTGTATCCCCCAGCGCCGAAGCCAGGGCTGGCTGGGAGGGGGTGTGGGAGCAGGGAGGAGCAGTCTGGAGGGTTTGAAGGAGAGACAGAGGGTAGCAAATGGCTTCTGCGGGCCAAGAACCAGGGGCTGGCCGGGGTCCACTGGGCAGAGAGACCTCGGGAACGGGGAGAAAGGGGGCTCGGAGAAGCAGAGAGCAAGCATAGGCTGTTCCCTGAGCCCAGCAGGAGGGTGGGGGGCAGACCTGGGGCTTGGCGGTCAGTGTGAGCCTCTGTGGGAGTCTCGCTCTGCCCCCTAAGCTCACTGACCTTGCTGAGTAACTGGATCCCTGTGAGCCTCACTGACCGCTCCTGGCTTGGACTGCAGTGTGCACATTCAGTGAGCCCCTCCCAGATGCACCCAGCACAGAGCTGGTGCTCTGCATGTCAGAAAGCAGAAGCATCTGTCTCCTTCCTGCCCCAAAGGAGCAGAGTGCTCTGAGCCAGGAGGGTGGAAGCGGATTGGGGTGGTCACAAAGGTTCGAGGAGGGGCTGAGGCTGGAGCTGCTCGGAAGGAATGGAAGCTCAGATTTGGCTTGGTGGAGAGGGCTGGGCTGAGCATCTGCCTGACCATTCAGGCTGGAAGCCCAGTGGGCCCCACCCTTGTCCCCAGTGCTCAGGGCTTCAGTTGGTCAAGACTCCTTTGGTTGCAAGCCTTAGAATGCCTCATCCCTGCTGGCTCAGTCAAAACATGGGCATTTACTGACTTATGGACCATGAGAAGGCTTCAGGCTCAGCTGGATTCAGGGGCTGAAACAATGTCATTAGATGGTTCTCTCTGCTTCTTGCGTCCGCGGTCTGCTCTGGCTTGTCTCAGGTGCCCCATGGTGGCAAATGGGGGCCAGCAGCACATGCCCTGCCTTCCCAGAATAAAGCCCAAGAGGAAAGAGACCAGCTTTCTGTGAACTGTCCCACCAAGCCCTCAGATGGCACCCCATGGGCTATGATGGGGCCTCAGGGGCACCTCTAAACCCGTGACTGTGGGGGAGATGCAGTGCTCTGACTGGCCGGAGTTAGGGTTAGGGTTGACCTGAGTCAAGGGTGCTGGAGGGGGTCAGCGTGGGGGTTCCCTCAGGAAAGGCAGGCACTGCCCCAGCAGTTGGGGGCCCCCGTGGTGAACCGCACAGCCAGACATCCGCTGTGAAGTTGGAGGTGTTGACCAGCTTCCTAGCAGAACAAAACGGGTCACATGGGAGCCCCAGGTCTGCACACGGGGTGGGCACGGGACTCGTGGGACTGCAGCAGGCCGTCCTCAGCGCTTCCTCACAGCACTGGACAGCGTGCAGACCATTCACTGTCTCGCTTGACCTTCGTGTTGGCACGAAAGCTGGATGCAGTGGCACGTTATCACCCCATTTTGCAGATGCAGAAATAGAGGTTTGGGGAGACTCTGGGGCTGGCTGACAGGGACAGAGCTGGGACTCGCCCTTGGGCCTCCGTGGCCTGGCCCCAGGCCGTTTGCCAAGCTCTTGGGCCGCCCACTGCGGCCACCCTCCTGGAGCCCCGGCTTCCTTGTCGCAGGACCCCAGGCTGGGGACACACCCCCTGTCAGATTGACACTGCTGGGCTACTGTAAGGACTCGGTAACACTGTGAATGCGCTCGCCCTTTGTCAACTGCAAAGCCTGCAAGTGTGTAAGGGATACCCTTTCATTCAGCCATTGATTCCTGGTGCCTCTTCTGACCCGGGCCCGTGCTGAGCCCCGGGGAAAACAGGGACAACGAAAGAAACTCAGCCCTGCCCTGGGGGCCTCCGGGCCGTGCACCCTTGCTGTGAGCAGGGCATGGGTGGGCGTGGTGGGCGAGGATGGTGGGAGGGCTGTGTGTGTGTGTCCTGGGTGGACTGGATTCCAGCAGGCAAGCCTGGGGGCCAGGGGCCCAGTGAGGAGATCCAGGGAGAGGCAGTGATGGGCAGGCAGGGGCTTGGCCGGGGGCAGGAGGCAGTCGAGTAGTGGGGCAGTGGGCCGTATCATAACTGTGTTTCAGACTGAGGTGGCCACGGGGCATTGGAACAGGTTAGTCGTGAATAAGAAAAGAGGGTTGATCCACCGCAGAATTGCAGGCACAGTCCTCCTGAGTCCTTACTATCAGCTGTGCCTCCCTGCCCCATTTAAACACACTTTGTGCCCTGTCCACATGCTGGGGAGCATGCCATTCACCACTGTATTTATTGAGTACCTACTGTATGCCAGGCTCTATTAGAATTTGATAGACAAATACCCCTGCCTTCCTGGAGCTAACAGACAATAAACCATTAATGTAATAAACAAGTACCATACCCAGCATGCAAGCAGCTGACAAGTGCAGCGAGACCACCAAGCCCAGTGGTGTGCCTTTTTTCCGGCCCTGTTTATCGGCGGGGCTGCAGGTGTGGGCTAGGTGGAACGGGAGCTAGGGTGGGGGTTTCGCCCAGTGTATGAGCAGGCACGGGGCTGATGGTGCCTGAATCTAGGCCGGGTGAGGAGATGGCTAGTGACGAGAGAGGAGCGTCAGTCATGGGGGGGTTCCCCCTGGAACCCCGGGAGTCTCCCCTGACTGCCAGTCCTGCCACCTAACCCCGTGTTAAACATGTGTGCTGCCTCTTAATTTTGTGCAGGTGAATTGGTAGTTGATCAAAATGCAAAGACGACCTGTGTCTTGAGGTCGAGGCGTGGGGGTGCTGCAGATCGCTGATGGGGGCCGAGCTGGGCTGCAGGCAGCCCCTGCCTGTGGAAAGTGAATACCCAGTAGGCAGACGGAAGGGGTGGAGGGGAGTCTCCAGGGGCGTGTGGTGGTTATGGAGACCTCCCTGCTGAGACCAGTTCGTCAGGGAACCATGCTGCACGTGGCAGTCCCCAGGGCCCACTGCTGCTTGGCCATCGGCATGACGAGACACAGGGGCCCCACGCAGAGACCGGCACCCGCCCCGCGGAGCCAGCCTCCTTGCCGGGAAGGCGTCGGGACTGCGGGCTGCCGGGTCCTGTGCAGCCGAGAAACTGGAAAAGGCGTTTCATTTCCAACGTGGGAGGAGGCCGGCAAGGCCTGCCGAGCTGGGGAATTGCTCCGAGTCAGGAGACCCCTTTTGTGCAAGCACGTGGCTGGGGGTTCTGGGCCTGGGGCTTCACCTTGCTTTAACGCTTGCCCTCCGGTGTCTTGACTTGCCCCAGCGGGCGCTGCTGTTCAGTCTGAGCCACCGGAAGTTTCTTGCGGGAGTTACTACCTTCTTGTAACACTTTCCACTTAAGCAGAATTGATCTCTAGCAAAGGTTTTGAGAGAAAGGAAAGCCATCTTAATAAAGGAGAGAAGGTAGGCGTTGTCTTGACCAGCACGAACTGACAATGAGCAAGTGGACTCAGAGGACCTCTGCACTGCTAATTTGAGACTTGGCTGATCTGCGCAGAGAGGCAGGGAGCCCAGAGCTCACAGAGCCTCTGTGTGTGCCAGGCACCTCTTTCCTCTCCCTTACCCCCAAGATGGAAGGAGGTGCCAAACCCTTTCCTTCCTCCCCCTGGATGGCTCTGGGATCCTGCCTACCTCTCTATCCCTGCCAAAGGCCCTGCTGGAGCCAGACCGTTCCTGCCTGGCCCGTTGCCTGGATCCCACACTGCCCAGCCAGCCGGCCCTGCACAGAGTGGCTCATCAGAACCTCTGGTCTGACCACGTCGGGCCCCAGCTTAAAGCTCTCAGTGGCTCTCCGTCAGCTTCTGGAGAAAGTCCGAATCCCTCAGCAATGCCCTGGGGCTCACAGTGACAGGCCCCTGCACG